GCTCCTTATCTATTCCCAGAGTTCACCTGCCTTCACCATGAGGAACACCAAGAGATCACAGATTAGCTGAACTCCAGCTTCAACTCTTCAAAGCAATTGCTAGTTTCAAGAAGAAAAGGTACTTAAACAATACTGCCAAAGCAAAAGCTTTTAAGATCAAAGGAGAGGTGTCCTGGTTTAATGTTGATCTAGCAAGTCCAGAGTCTGCAGCATGGTGGGTCATCACAGACAGCATTCAGGGGTCAAGGTCAGCTCTTGTTTTACGTGAACATGTAGAAAGGATCAGCAAAGATGCTTCCTTTAACTTCCTTTTGCCTACCAAATGACTCTGTGGCTTCTGTTGAGCTAAAGGCTAAACTGAAAGAATTTAAAAAAAAAGTGTATTATCTCAACTTTTATCAGACTTTAGAATGGGTTAGGGGTGTCTGAGTGGCTTAGTCAGTAGGGCGTCTGCCTTCAGTTGGGCTCCTGATCTCAGGGTCATGGGATGGAGTCCCTCTCCCTCTGAGTGCCACTCCCCCTACCTGTATTCTCTCACTCTTTGTAAAAAAAAAAACAAAACAAACAAACAAACAAAAAAAAACCTTTAGAGTTGGTTAAAAAAAGGCAGGGGCTTGCTAACTTCACTGAGACACATTGGCCTATTATGCTCTGAGCTCCAGGAAATACCTGATCTTGCCGCAGAATACTCTCTGCTTATCAAGTCCGCAAGGACTTGGGAGAGCTCTGACAGAAAGGTCCTCTGCTTGAACGATTTCAAGGAAAACTAATCATGAATCTACGTGAACACATGGGAGTATGCCATCCATGTGCATAAGATGTAAACAGGCCTAGAAGGGGGCATCAATATATATGCAGTAGAACAGGCTCCAGCAGCATTTGTGGGTGCACTTCTGTAACGGCTTACGGACACACACTATTTTGGACCAGTACCTTGCTAGAAATATGGACTTAAATAAACAAAAGTTCAGCCTCCACCAAGGTAGTGTTCTTCTGCAGGCCAAGTGTTTTTAAAAAATGTGATTGTCCAATTAAGAAGCGTATCCGCCTGGTGCCTCACTTCTCAAACAGTTTATTTGAATACCATGTGAATGGCTAATCTCCTACAAGTTTTGGGGCCTTAACAAGGTAAACAAATGAGTGGCTGTGAAAGTAAACACTGCATTTCCTCCCAGGCTCATCCTTGGCTCCAAAATTCCACTCTCTCTGTCCCTTTCCCTAGCCCAGCCTTCCATTTCTCTTGTACCCCATAGAAGTAAACGCAATTGCAAAGGAGACATTTTTAATTATAAGTACTACAGTAATGAATTCAAGTACACTCGTTTATCATAAAGGGCTTTCCCATCTGTCTCTAAAGTATACTTAAAAAGGCTGTGTATTTGATAACATTAGCACTGAGCATCTTCCTCATGTTACTATTCAGCATTTTAGATGTTCGCTTCCCGCCCCCTACCACACACACACCCAAGACAACATGGTGGTGGTTCCAGAAAAGACACATTTATCTCTGTGTTTGGGAGTGCCTGTGTGGTCTCTTCTTAATTTATTTGCACTCTAATCCTCAGGGATAGCATCCCAATCCCCATAGGCAAAGGGAGATTAGGGAATGGGGCTGTCTGCTTCTCCCCACCCTGACAGAGAAGGGAAAACAACTTCCTCAAGTCCCTCAAGTTCATCTGGCCACTGTACAAATTGTTCCTGAGCATGGAGGGTTTCCAAAAGCCCTAATTAGCAACTCACAGCAAACATTTCTTTGCATTAGCTAATGATCCGGCTACACTTGTAAGCAAACAGAACCAACATATCTAATCAATGCTGAAAAACCAACCAAATGCCTATTAAACATCTGGATGTAATTTTCTAGTTAGAACAAAATGAAAACATATGCAGGTTCCTTTGATCTTCATCTTAACAAAGAAATTGTTGATAAAAAAGTATACTGGTCAGTCAACGTGTCATTTTCATAAACTCTACTCGTTTCTCTTCAAATGCTTTCAGTTTAATTTAGTTGGTTTCCTGCAATCTCTAATTTTACCATATTGTGTGAAACCGCAAGAGATTCTTTGGATGTGATTTTATTTGAGGTTTTACTGCTGCATGGATCTGCTACTGATTTTTTTTTTCTTTCTTTGCTTTCTCTTCTCCATATTCCACGCCCATCCTGCTCTTTTCTTTGGTAAAGGACTGAGGGGAAAAGTTATAAAGCAATGCTGGGAAAATTCTTCTGGACCCTACATTCTCAGGTTTAAGAAAACTCTCATTTAAAAAAAAAAAGTCAAATGAGAAAATGCATAAGCAGTAACTCACAGCTAAAAGAAAGAGAAAATAACAAGTGACCTTCAGAAACTGTCATACTCATTTCAAATAGAAAAGTAATAGATTTAAAAGATGCACAATTTCTATGACCAGCATCCAAACATTTTTCTATTATGTCTAGAATGTATACAATACAGAACATCTAGTTTTTGTAGTGACTTAAGCCACTGGTTGAGTTGAAAATTTGATAGTCAGCAACAAATGAATGGAAATATACCCATACATGCAGCAACGATAAAATAAACAATCTGGCAATCTTCTTGTTTCTTTGCAGAGGATAAAAAGGGGATTTTTTTTTTTCAGAGATAATTTTCTATGGAAACGGAGTACTTAATATCATTTCATGTAAAAACATCATCAACATATGAATATGTTAAAGGTAAAAAAGATTATGGTTAACAGACTTTAAATAGAGGACTAAAAGATTTCATGAGTAGGATTATTTTCTTTTAAACAGGCTGTAGACAATCTGCACATATATTATTTATTTAAAACATAAGATTAAAGCTACTTGATTGTTTAAATACCATCATTTGTAATGCAGTTTGATGAGAGTTTTGTAGTATAATTATTACAGCATGATAATCACCGAGAAAATATGACCTTGAAAAGGGGCCCAGCCTTCTCCCTCTGTCAAGGAGGATGGGATGCCCTCGAAAACCAACCATCTTTATGCACACAGTTAAAGGTCTTCCAATTTTAAAATTACTCTTTCTTTTCTCTAGATAGTACATTATAGGGAATTCAGAAGGCTCCTGTCTCAAAATATACCGTTCTAATTTCTCTGTTTAAACCCAATTACCAGTGTGTGCCAGTAAATCAAAGTAAAGCTTGAGTAAGCCAGGGAGAAATGTCAGTTGCCCCAGCTGGCCCAGCGTGCACAGGCATATTTGCGGCATCCAAGTTTCTTCTCCACAGTCCTGCAGCTGATTAGGGGATGAACTGACCACAGACTGACATACCGAGCCCAGTCTCTAGATGAAGATTTCAAGGAACACAGGTTGCCAAAAGACAAAGCTTAGTTGCCCATGAATCATATTATTTCAAAAAGTCCTATAGATGGAACAAGCATGCTCCAGTCATCACTCAGTTTAACTTAGGAAAGAGGGACACTGCTTGCTTCCTTTTCATTCTTCATGTTAGCAAAATGAATACTATAACCCCCTCCCCAACCCCACTTAATGAGAACACTGCAAAACCACATACTGAACTTGTTTAAGAATTTACTGTGGACTTGTACAGGCTGGCTAAAATTGCTCCTTTAATTTTTCATTTATAATTGATATTTGGGATTGATGCAATTATAGACAAATCAATATCATGCATATTTAAAAACAACTCCAACAGTGAAATGTATTATCTAAAATGATTCTTTTAATATTTCAAGGAAAAGGTCTCTGAGAATGCAAATCTTCAAATAAAATGTATTTCTCTTTAAATAAAGTCTTTCCATAAGTCCCTTGAAAGTAAAATAATGAGAACGTGGGGGTTATTAACACCCAAAACCTGTTATGTTTATTCCAACGTAGGATGACTGCTTGTCAAAGATGTGTCTTTCTTACGGAAGAACTCACCACCGTTTGGCTATAACAGCATTATTCACTCACCAATCGTGTGGAAATAGCTCAGCCTAACTATTCTTTAAACAAAATTATAAATGGGGCAACACTGAAGATTTTCTGCTGTGTGGTGTATTTAGAGAAGTAGACAAAAACTGGAGATTTACACAATATGCCCCATTTATTAAAAATCTCAAAATACCTTTTAGTTAAAGTTCCACTCACTAGAATTTTAGCCACATCATGTACCCAACTCTTCCCCATTTAGCTTCTTACATCGCTCATCCTTGGGATACCCCTCCACCCCACCCCAAGTATGGGGGTAAGGGCGGGCAAGGCAGGTTTCCAGGTCTCAAAGCTGGTTTATACCATTGTCTCCCTTTCTTTTTAGTAATTGGAAACAGACTCGTGGTCATGTTGCTGAGAGGCCCCTAAAACTCTCAGCAGCCCCCTAACCGCAAGACAGCGAAGTCGAAGACAAGGACAGGCCAGAGAGCCCGAGCCGCGGGCAAAAGCCTCGCATCTGCGACTAGAACGCGCATACCTTACCCTGGGAGCACCTTAGGGTATCCTTCCCGCCAAACGAAGGCAGGCCTACCTTTTTGCAAAGTCGTTTGAAATGCTCCAATAAAAGCCAATCCCTACCACCTTGGGTGCAAAGAGGGGCGTGAGCATAAAAAGCCTAGTCTTAGACGGCCAGGGAATGTACGCCAATCAATGCGCTGCCGCATTTTCCACCAAGTGCACAGTCCACTCCTTCTCACGAAAAGGCAGCTCAAGGAAAAACAATCCTCAGAGAAATTTTTGAATGTGACCTCACTTTCAAAAGAGGAGCATCAAACAAGGGGCAAGCACTGAAAGACGCATTTGGCTCGAACTGTCAACCCCCCGCCCTCCCCATAAGAAACTGCGCGGTTAGTCTCTGAGTTACTTTCACCGAGATCTGAGGATTTCCATTAAAGGGAAAAGTGAACAAGTGGCAGGATTTTTGCAAACTCTAGCCCCCAGCTTCCGCGACCGCACGCCCGCCCGTCCCTCCCGCTCGCGCGCGCCCGCGCGCACCCTCGCCGGCCCCACGTTACTTTGACTGACAGCCCGGCCCCGCCGCCTCTCCTTCCCACCGACCTTCCCATCCACCGTGCCAATCTCCGCGTCTCGCCTCTTCCCATTGGCTGGTTTCGGCGTTCCGCGGCTCCTCCAGGAACAGTTCCTCACCGAGCCCGGGAGGACGCGGCTGGCGGAGGAGGGGTGGGGGGGTGGGAGGGGAGACCGGGGAGACGGCGGAGATGGAAGCGAGTGGGGTGGGAGAGAAGGGGGAGGACGGCCCGTCCAGTGCCGCGCTGCTATAGGCTTCGGGGAGGCGTTGCGTCAGAAACCCACGTTGGGCACGGCGCACACGATTGGCTGGCGCCCGCTTCCCCGCTTCCCTCCCGCTACCGCCCGGACCCACGTCCCCCGCCGGCTCTGCGCTCCCGCCCCCCGCCCGCGCGGGGCTGGGCGGGGCCGGCGCTGGTTAGCTCCGGAGTGTGAAACCGCGTGTTAATGTAACCGGCGCGAGAGGCGCGGGCGGCGGCGGCGGGAGCGGCGGCTGCAGGAGCAGCAGCAGCGGCGAGTACCCTGTGCCCCGCGTCCCCGAAGCAGCCGACTGCGCCACCCCCACCCTCTCACGTCCGGGCGGGACCCGTGCCACCAGACCGGACCTCCGCCGGCCCGCGGCGACTTAATCCCCGCCGCGACTACTCCGGACCAGTCCGCGGAGTTTGCCCGCCGGGTAGGGAGGCCGAGCGGCGGAGTGCACTCCTGCTTCCATCCCCCCCCGCCCCATTTCGTGGATGTCGCCCCCCGGGTCGTGAGAGAACTTTGCAGCGGGCTGGAGCGCCCTTTGCGGAGAGGCAGACGAAGGGAAGGAAAGAAAGAGGGCCCAGGAAGGGGCTTGGAGGAGGAGTCCGGAGCGGCCGGGCGGGCCGTGCGGAGCGGGTGCGCGCGGGGCGCGGCGCCCGGATGCGCCCCGGGCTCGAGGAGCAGCGGGCGGCTGCGGGACTGCCTTTCTTGGTGTAGCCCCGCCGGGCTAGGAGGGTTTGTGCAACCGCGGAGAACACCGAGCGTCGGTCGCACGGGGCGTGCCGAGCCGCCTCCCGGCGCGCCCTCCGCACTTTCCCCGCCTCGTCGTCATCCCGCGCTCCTCCGCCCGGGCTGAGGCTGCGGAGCGCCAGGCGCGGAACCTCCGCCGCCCGGACCTCGCTCCTCACCGCCTCCCGGCAACCCACGAGCGCCTGGCTGAAGGCGCTGCCCTGATCCGCAGCACTCGGTCCCGAACGTCTCCAGGTTTGTTTGTGTGGGGTTAGCTGGGGGCGCCGGGCCACCTGCACCTCGCCTCGGGGAAAACCCGGAGAGGAGGCGGACCGGGAGAAGAACGAAGGAAAGCAGCTCGCCTGGATTTGTTTGCTCGGGACGGGTGCCGCCTAAGGGGATCGCCGAGGGGAGCGCGGCCGGAGTCACCGCGCGCTCACCTCCCCGCCGGGGCAGCGGAGGCCCGCGGGTTGGATCACAGCCCCCGCGCCCTCATCTTGGGCGCCGGCGTCACCGCGCAGGTTTTGGTGCAGCTGAGCCCCGGGTGCCCCGCGATGTGGCCCTGAGCGAAGGAACCCGCACCGGCGGGAGCAGGAGCAGCCGGGCACCGAGTGGCCGGTGCGCCCCGCCGAGCGCGCTTGCGTGCGTGGCCAGCGCGCTGCCAGCGCTCGCGGTTTCTGCCTGGCTTCTCGGCTTAATTTTCCTCGGCGGGATTAAAGTTGGAAATCGAGCGGAGAATTGAGTTGGCCAGAAACAGAGCTACGGCCGCCGCCAGAGCGATGTTCCCGCAGAGCCGGCACCCGGTGAGGCGCGTCAGGGTGCTGGGTGGAGGGGCAGAGGAGTGGGTTGGGGGTGGGGTGGGGATTGGCGCTCTCCCTGTGCTGTAGGGAAACGGGTGTCTTCTACCTTGTGGAGGACCCCTCCCCCCAACCTCTAGGGATGCAGGGCTGGGGAGGTCCCGGACCCTCCCTCCCGGGGTGGGGAGTGAACTGAAACTCAATTTTTCCCCTTTACTCTGGGCCCCCTCCGAATTGACGTCTAGACAAGGAGGGCGGGGGCGCCCGGGGAGGCTGGGGTTTCTTTCCAGTAGCTACAGCTTACCCCCTTCCCCTCCTCCTCACCGCCCCCCCCGCCGAGACGGGTAGGGCGCCCCCCCCCTTTGTTTCCCGTCTCGCTTATTTACATGTCAATGCGGCCCCCGTTCCGGCGCGCCTGGAGGTGGCCCTGGCGACTCTGGGAACGGGGAGCGTTAGGGAGTTGTTTTTCTTCTCTGATCCCCGGGGTCATTATCGCCCTGGTGGGGAGGGGGCGGTGGCTACGACGACAATTTGGCCTGGTCTTCCCCGGCCGCCAGGGATCCCCTGTCCCTCCAGCCGGTGACCCGGGAGCACGTACCAAGCGACCCGCCCTGGAGCACGGAGAAGGCACTGAGTCTCTTTGGAGGCTCCTGACCGGGCCAGGGGCCGCATTCTCCCCGCATAAAGTGCAGAGCAAACTCGAGTTCAGGGCTCCGTTTTCCGCCACTTCTAACTTTATTTTTTGTTTGTCCCACCCACTTCTCCGTCCTCTGACTTCCTGTTTTATCTATCTACCTGCATCCCCGTCCCTCGGTTCCCCTCGCCGGTCGCCCCCAGACGCCGCACCAGGCTGCAGGCCAGCCCTTCAAGTTCACTATCCCGGAGTCCCTGGACCGGATTAAAGAGGAATTCCAGTTCCTGCAGGCCCAATATCACAGGTGCGTGTCCGGCCGCGTGGGGCGAGAGGTAGCCCGGGGGCAGCCCGGGCCCCTCCTCGCCCAGCCTGGTGGCTGTGGCGGCTGTACTTAGTACTTGCGTCCAGGCGGTGGCGTGTGGAGTCGCAGTTAAGACCTGTCATTCATGTTACCCCCTTTCCAGGTTCTTCCCGGGCCAGCTCTGCTGTAGTCTCCTCCTCCTACCATTGTTTCCCTTTTGCCCGTTTGCTGCTGTTCTAGGGAGTCCTTTTTTTTTTTTTTTTTCTTTTCTTTTCTTTTTCTTTTGAGTATTTAGGAGTTGCATGAGAACCGTCAATATTTGCACTTCGTTTATTTATTTTGCAACAGGCTGAGCTGAAACCTTGATTCAGTCCATGCCCCAGCCCTGGAGTGCAGGTTTAAGGAGGCAGAGCCAGTGTTGAAATCGCTTTGCCGTTCTAAAGGATTGTGTTGTCTGAGGCAAAGTCCATTATGGAAGGCCCGATGCTGTTAGCTGTGCCCATCATTGGTGGGGAAGAGGGATGTGGTTAGGTATAGGGGAAGCTCCACTGCTTTGGCGTGGCTCTGGGTTGGTTTGGGCAGGACAGGGGACTGGAGTCTCCTTTATATACATCCCGGTTTGGTCTCTTCATCTAATGAGACCTACTTCAAAAGGGTTGTAAATGAAGAGTGTTGTAAAGCATCCTGTCCATAGTGGATTTTCCAGAAATGTTAGTTACTTCCCTTATTCCTATGAAGCCTTCCCTGATTAGAGCTAAGAAATAACTGTGTAATGACAGTTTTTATTTTTGTCATGCTTGAGAACAAGCACACAGATGCTTGGGTGTGAATTTTCTTATTTTGTCAGAGGTTTTTCTGATTATTGAACTTTTGTCTGCTTGAAGAGAATAATCTCTGGAACTTGAGGCATACCTGCCCACACTGTGTTTACCAAGCAGAGAGGACTTCAGCCCACTTTATTGCAGTAGCTACTTCACATATTTTGGCAGGGATTTAAAAACTGAAGATTTTAAAAGGGACCAACAATTGTAGAAGTAACTTTAAAAGTACAGTTTTCAAACCTAGAGATTGAGTTGGCAGAGATGGGACAGCCTCTGTCTGATGCTGGAAATTGTGCCAAAGCCAGATTTTAGTGGAGTCCAAAGGAGCAGACTGGTGCAGGGAAGTAGGAGTGAACAGATGAGCAGGAGGAGAAATCAGTCTTCTGCGTAGATCAGAGGTTTTGACAGATTTTTCATTCTTGGCACCTGACCAGGTATGCACCAAGAAGAAAGAATAGTAGGTAATGGAGACCCTGTACTGGTCACCTGACCCCCTTTCCCTGTTAAATGCAAGGACAAAGCTTTTGCATGTTTACCTAGATAGTTTATGGCTTTTCTAAATTGGTCTGTGTTTTTACTTGAAGTGCAAATATGTGAGGCAGATGTTAAAACAAGTGACATAATGTTTACATTAAGTTGCCTGTTTTGTTTTTGTAGCCTTAAATTGGAATGCGAGAAACTGGCAAGTGAAAAGACAGAAATGCAGAGGCACTATGTGATGGTAGGTATCAGAGATTAGAATTTCGTCTTTTTATGTAAGATTAGCAAATATGTGTTCCTAATATTGCAAAATGTGAGTTAACGAAATGCTTGTTTTTTTTTTCTTTTTGCAGTATTATGAAATGTCATATGGATTAAACATAGAAATGCATAAACAGGTAAGCTTTAGTTAAATCTCCAGTTGAAATGAGAAATCAGTCATCATGATTCCATAGAATTGGCTTTGTCCTCAGTTGGTTGGGGTGGGCGGGGATTTGTATGCCATTTTCTTGCCTTGGTTTCCCTTCCTGTGAGTTGGTGGTAGTATTTTGCTGAAGGGTCGCTTCTTGACAATTACAGAATCTTTAAATGACTAGAAAAGAGGTGCTTTGGAAATGTGAACCAACCTGTTTCTAGGCTGATAGAAATTGAGTCTCTAAGTTGACTTTTCCACCTGGGTAGATTTATTCTCCTCTTGAAAGATTTGGGTATCCCGTAGGGTTCTGCAATTCAGAAAAGCTTGGTGTTTTTCCTGGTTTGGACAGCACTGTGGTTCTGCAGGGAAACGAGGATATTCAGGAGTTCCTTTAGCAGGTTAAACGTCATATATGACTAACTGTGGGGTTCTCTTCATGCTTTGGGGGTGCATAAAGTGACACTCAGGTTTAGTGGCTTATTAGCAAACATCGTTTTGGAAGATTTCTCAGTTGATGTAGATTTGGAGGTAAAAAAGCATTCTTTTATGGGCACAGCATATGTTGCGAGTTGCTTCAGTCCTAGTGGTTTTAAAAGCATGAAAAGATTAGTGACTGGAAAGCTCTAGCTATGACTATGAGTTTGCAAGTTCCCATAAAATTCACACTTATGGCTACTATAATGGTGTATAAAAAGAGTATTGAGCTGGAACAAGGCACTAAGGACCTCGTAAGAGAAGAAAAGCTAAATGATTGCTCAGCCCAAAGGAC